TTACGAGGAAAATATTACCACGCCTTTACGAGGAAAACTTTCCTCGTAAATTCGCTACAACCTTACGAGGAAAATGTCTTTACGATGAACGTGTTTCGAGGAAACGCGTTTCCTCGTAAGTTCCTAGTAAAAGGCCATTTACTAGGAACTAACGAGGAAAACCCGTCCTAGTAATGGACGAGTTTTCTTGTAGTGATTATACTATTATATTATGGTTACATGCAGTCCATGTTATCCAGTCGACTCTTCCCTAATCATTGGGAAAAAGCAATAATTAGTAACTATCATCTCTCTATGCTAATTATTAGCTACATGATTCATCCACCACAAAGTAGACTTTATATAAAATAAATACAGCAATACATAATCGCCTTACTTCACAGAGTTATTTCATCTAAAACCTTTATCATCACCTTAATTAATTTATACATATGTCATGAGATATATGATAGTTACCACTCTCTAGTATTTGCAATGTTAGTCCAAAGCGGAGTACTCGAATTAATCAATTTATATATATATTATTGTTATTGGTTGATGACCTGAAAGGTCTTGGAGATACGATGAGGCGGATGAGCTGCACTTGTTGATTTCTTGTTACTTTAGTGATATTCTTTACGTGAAGTGGGTGCTCTTCACATCATGCAGCCATGAACAAATGATCATATACTTCATATATAATATAATACACACACAACATGTACTATCTTGGTTTTATTATGCACAATTGTTTATTTTTTTAAAAAATTATCACAATTCACAGGTTAGACTTTTCAGTTGCAAATTTTGGGACAAAATATCATGGTTAATAACAAATGCTAATATGCATGACTCTGAAAGATATACTTTACCACTTTCATGCATGTATATACATACACACACGTCGTTGATATTTCCCTACTTGATTGATTCATACATTTGGTCATAAATTAGTTTAACTAAGAGACTAGGTCATTAATATTTAGTTAATACTTCCCCAATCATTTTCTCAACTCTCAAGTCTTATTTGATAAGTCGTCGTACTCTTACGACATACTGGTTGGACTTAATTATTTTCCTCTGTACAAAGAGCGAGAGACACACGTTTGGAGGATGGTCTTACTCTTATGTACCGGTTCTCAACAAGGCCAGTGTCAAGATTATAGGAATTATAATTCATAAATATTTCAAAAATTATTCTTGTAAACTAAGGGAATTTTTTGGTTGAATAAAATTTAACACTCAATTTAAAAAAAAAAACATTTTCCTTTGGGAACTTAATTAGAAGAGTGTATTTATGCACTAAACCAACATGTGCGTAGAGATGCGTATATATACGGGTATACGTGTTAGAAATATACATACCAATTAAAATAAAGAAAACAAAGAAGATGGAGTGAAGTTAATGGTAGAGAGAGACAAAAGGGAGAAAGGGGAGAGCCGTAGACTCCGTGAGAGCCAGGCTTGCACTATCATTAATTTACACATTCGTTCACCAAAAGTAATCTCTTTGCCTCTACTTCCAAAAAAAATCTTTTTTTTTTAACAAAACTCAAACTAATTTTCGTGATATATAATATAGCTGTGCATGAAATATTTTTAAAGGATATAAATAGCATGTTTAGTTACAACCTGATCGTTAATAACAAAAGAAAATGTTAAGAGTTAAACGTTAAGACAGTTTCGGTAACATTTGTATTTAGAATCTAACCACATGTAATTATCTCCACACAAAAGAGACACGTCTATTCTTTCGACAGAACTAATCCAATAATAAGTTGTTTATACAGAGTAAAAGAAAGAGGATGTTGAAGAGACAAATAATACATAACTCAAGTAATTGTCTAAATTTACACCTTTTTTTTTTTGTTATGTTTGGTGGTGTCTCTCCTCTCTCTAGCTCCTGTATGTTGTGATGAGTTTGCCAAGTTGGGAAAATTGTAATAGAGACAATTACAGAAGTACTAAAATTTAAGAGGCTGCAAAAAGACAAGTCCAACATATTCCACACACTTAGAGAATGTGGTGTCTCTATTTGACTCCTCTCCCTAAATCACTCTCTATTTATGTATGCATCTCTTCAATCCACACACCTATATCTCTCTTAACACACACATACATATTTATATATATGCAATCTTGATCATCTTCATCTTCAAATTCAATTATCTCTAGTTCATCTTCTTTATCCTCTCTCTCTCTCTTTGTTTCTTGAAACTCTCTATATCATCCCAATGGACACAGCCGAGGAGGCGGCAGCTAAGGAGCAAGTCTTGATCATTAAAGGGAAGAGGACTAAGAGGCAGCGTCTTCAGTCACCAATCCCTTTCTCTATTGTCCCTCCTATGTCTTCTCAAGAACCAGATACCCAAGAAGTGTCCATCAGTCTTGTTTCCAAGGATAAAAGTCACAATGATGAGATCAACAATAACAATAATGATAACAACATTTTGGTCAATGGTGTGACATCTTCATCTTCTGCTTCTTCATCTTTCAGCAATGCAACATTAAAGGCCGCGGCTGACGAAGAAGACCAAGATATGGCTAACTGTTTGATCCTCCTTGCCCAAGGCCACTCTCTTCCACACCACAACTACAACCACAACCACAACCACCAACAACCACAAACAAGACAACTTATGATAAGTTACCAAGAACCCGGTAACAACAACAGCAATGCGTATAGATCTAGCAGCAGGAGGTTTCTAGAGACATCTTCATCTAACGGGAACATGACCAGTGGAGGCAGAGCTGGTTACTATGTTTACCAATGCAAAACATGTGACCGGACTTTTCCATCTTTCCAAGCTCTTGGTGGCCATAGAGCCAGCCACAAGAAGCCTAAAGCTGCTCCAGGTCATGACCTCAAGAAGTCTATCTACAACGACGCCGTTTCTCTTCATCTCAACAACGTTCTCACCGCAACTCCTACTAACAATAATCATAGCCATAGATCGCTTGTGGTATACGGTAAAGCGAATAACAATAAAGTCCATGAATGTGGGATATGTGGAGCCGAATTCACATCGGGACAAGCCTTAGGTGGTCACATGAGACGCCATAGAGGCGTCGTGGTAGCTGCCCCAACCGCGACGCTAGCCCTTGCGGCCACTGCGGTTACTGCAAACACGGCTTTGTCATTGTCGCCTATGTCCTTTGATCAGACGTTGTTGGACGGTCCGGTTCATGCTCCGGTTAAGAGAGCGAGGAGTGGGGTTGTGTCGTTGGATTTAGATCTAAATCTACCAGCTCCTGAAGATGAGAACCGGGTCAACGGAGTAAGTGTTGCGTCAAAGCAAGAACAAGAACATGAACAAACACAACGGAGAGAAGAACAAAAGTCTAGTGTTTTGTCTTCTCCTCCTACATTGGTGGATTGCTATTACTGAATCAAAATTCAATACCAAAATTCGTTTATTATTTTTTAAAAAAAAATTTACGTAGGAATTGATGAACAATTTTTTTTTTTTCTGATTCCTTACTTGTACAAGACTTGCTAGTTTTTCTTCTTTTGTTTACTTCATTTCAAAAATATATATACAGCCACAATACCTTTCTTTGTCTTCGTAGTCTCCAGATGTGCAGATGCTAATTACACCCAACTCCAAGTTAATGTAAGCCATTTTACTCAACAACAAAATAAGGAAAGAATATAATTATTATTAGGACTAACATTATGTAATGGTATACAAATATGCATATATGTATACATATATATATATATATATCCTTGTTCGTGGTTTATTGCGAAAACAAATTATTTGCATAAAACTGTATATAGTCTTATTTTCGTATAGTTACTTTTACAAATTAATCAAAATTCGTCTATCAAGTGTGATTTCCCAAAATACCACATTCATAGTTATATTTCTCAATATAAAAAGACCAAAATGTTGATTAAAATGTTTGTATTATTTGATAATCATATAACCAACAAAAATTATAATAAATATTAGATAATTCAATAGTGTTTTAGGATTGACTCTATGATTTCAAATTTAATGAAAATTAATGTTCTAAAGATGCTTCTGAATTTGTAAAAGTTATAATTTTCTTTCAATCAGTCCATTGAAAAATAGTTAAAGATTGTATGTCATTTATTTGTAAAAAGTTTGTCACATTTTTAACGCTAATTTATGTATTACAAATTATGAGAACAACCATGTATATTTTTTTCAAAAAAATGTATTCTTCCATGGACAAAAAGAAGATGTTCAGACCATTTGAAGAACAAAAGTAATAAACTTTTGTCCGAGAAAGAAAAGGAAACAAAAGTTCATGAAAAGGGCGTGACAACTCTTTTTGTTACAATACTTGTTCTCGCTGAATGTTGACATTAAAATTCTAGGTGGTGAGTGAATGTTCAAAACGGAGTACACACTATGCAAACTCGAACTTGTACGATCCAAATAAGTAGTGGGCTATAAATAAATAGTGGGCTTTAATATTTATATTCTAAACTAAGAAGAATTAGGCCCAGAATAATGATGAGGTTGAAAAAGTTGTGTTGGTATTTTTAGCGTTTTGTCCTTTTGGTGACAGTGGTGTCAGAGCATGTGTATTGCTGGGACAAATAAAATGTCCTTAGAATTTTTTTATATTATTTTTATGTTTAGGACATTATTATGGGACTTTGTTAAATGTAGTAATTATTGGTGGGACTTTAATTTGTCCTTAAGCAACTTAAATTATTATTTTGATACACTTCAAAATAAGTTTCATATGGACAAAGAGATATGACAAAGAGAGATGACAAAATAAGTTTCATTTTCATGAAATAACATAATGAAAATGTTCATTACAATAGAAGCTAAGTCATTACAAGTCATTACAATAGAAGAAGAAATAACATAGCATTAGAATAAGAGCAAAGGGACAACAAACAACCATCAAACTATCCACTTTTTCTGCTCAACCAGTTCTTCAGTAATTGGCGGATCTCTTCGCTTTCAGGACATACACACAATAGTGGAGCTGTTTTTCCATCACCAACGACATTGAAGACTAATAAGGAAGCTATGTCGTATTTGTTATCACAACAGAATTTCGTCCACCCTCCTCTGATGTAATACATGCTCTTTGATTCGCAAAAGAGCAAATTCGCAACCCATGAGTTTCCCTCCTTGTTCACTAGTATCACCTCCTGGCATTGTTTGTTCAACACACTACATTGATGCGTAGCTGCCGCAGGAAACAGCTGCAAACACATAACAAATGAAAATTAGTCTTCGTTAAGTTTTGAAATAAACACACAGAACGACTAACTACTTACAAGTATGTCTTCTGCTAGGCTCTTATCCGTGACCTCAACTAAGAAACAATACTCAAATGAGATAAAATCAGCCCTTGCTCCTGATCCTCCTGATCCATAAGACAATAATTTAGGAATCAAAAGAGGACAGTGAGTTTTAATTAGACTTAATAATCTCACCTGCAGCATCATGTGAGGAGGCTTCTTCCTTGGTCACGTGAGGAGGTGTATACCTAATCTCACAGCAGCTAGGACCAATAAGAGTTACATGAAACACCATGTGTGCTTCCTTCTTGAAGATGACGATGTCACCGACGTGGAGGTCATGTGCTCTGGCGAATGTTTCCCAACCTCTAGTGAGTCTTGTCCCTTCTTGTATCACCTCCCAAGTCTTATCGGAAGCGTCCGATCTTAATTTCCATGATGTCTTGTTCGTCTTCCCTTCTATGTGATTTGCGAAGAAGGTAAGTGGTATGTCCTGAAATTCAGAGAAGGGAAACTTAAGCACAACTAAACATTATAAGACATATATACATCAGAAATAGGGAGAGTGTGTCTATACCAAGCCAGTGTGGAAACCCGGGAGCATGGGCTTTACAAAATGAGGTTCATGCGGAGCTAACCGAATAGACATCTACAACAAAAAAGCTTTCACAACTTTTCAAAAATTATTTTAATAGTTCGAAAGTAACTAGAACAACAGACAACATAACTTATTTTAATAACTTGTATTCAAACAACTTCCTATTTACACATCAAACAACAACAAAGCTTTTATATGACAATCAAACATATCTCCACGAAGACAGAAGTAATCAAGTCGATTTAAACTTCTACTTTATCAATTTCAATTAAGTGTAAGTGAGTTACCTTTCTTTCGGCGGTAATGTGTGTTCTTCTTACAGTCCATCAATCCAAAAATTTCATTTTTCAGTTACTCAGTTAACATAATTGAAAGAATATACGACCAAATACTTAACAAATCTACGACAAATAATGTCAAAGAACAATCAACGAAACAGTGTGAGAATCAAAGAAGAGATACAATTTGTGTTTCATCAAATCAATGGTCGAATATCGAACATGAATTCAGTTTTATATACAACAAAACACTCACAAGAACAGGGTTGGCCTTAATCAAGAAGTCGAAATTAAAGACAAATCAAAGACGAGATCAAAGACGAAATCAACCACGAAATCAAAGACAAAATCAATGAAAGACGAAATCAATGAGCGATGATATCAAAGACGGAATAAAATTTTGAAAACCCCAAATCTAATCGAAATCTAGGGTTCCGATGACGAGAACGACAACAACTGCATCATGATCGGGTAAAGGTAAAGCGAAAACAACAACATGCAACCAATTATACCTTCGAATCGACGGTGGAAGGAAGACGAATGGCCGACGAAGGGAAGAGACACCACCACCGAACGGAGATAGAAGGGAAGAGATGCCGGAGATGAATCGCCGAGCTAGTTGAATCGAGAATCGCCGACGAAGATGGTTCGAGAATCGACTACTATGGTCTCTGATAAATCGCATTTGCCACAAACACTCTCGGACTCTCCCACGTGAAATGAAAGAAGAAGAAGGGTTTACCCTATCGTTTTCGTTCAGCCACTAGCAACACTCCACGTGGCCATTAAGGACGCCCACGAAAGTTTATAATTTTAACAACGTCCTGAGTAATTATATTCATTTTGATTTATTTTTGCCAATTAATTACCTTAAGGACTGTCTTAAGGTGCTCTCAGTTAGCTGACAATCTAAACTAAAATAGATAGATAAATTGACCAAAAACTTTTCTTTCCTCTTTGCTTATATATATATATAATTTCGAAGATAATTTAAACGAAGACTAAACTAGGAACTGAAAACTGAAAGAAAATAGGATTGGACTCGCACCACTGATAGATGCAAGAAAGAGGAAAAATTAAACGAAATATTAGGAGAAGATGAGGAAGATGATGATTCGTGTGGGCCAAGTATTTCGTGCCCTTTAGCTTGCCTTATTGGTAAAGTATCCCTCTGCAAGCAAACGTATCCGTCACTCCTTTTTTTTTTGTTTCCAGCTATTCGATTCTCTCATTAACTTTCTTTTTTTTCTTTCAAGTCAACTTCTCAATAACTTGTTATACACATTTGAATTAATTAACCTAGTCGTTGTTATAAAACATCTCTAGAATTTATTATAACACTATTAAATACTCTCCCCTTCCCTAAATAAACAAAAAGAAAAGAAAACGCCATTTATCCTAGTAAAAGAAAATTTATTAACACCAAAGAAGAGATTAGATAAAAATTCATACAGTTAGATAAAACATAATATTAGTAAGATTATACAAAAAAATTACATTTACTTACATATATCTGTTGGCATTTTGATAAGTATCAAGAATTAATAACTTTTTTCAGAAGAATATAAAGCCATTATATATTGCATATATGTTTACCAAAATAGTGTTTCCTAATTTGCTATATTTAAAATTGCAGTATCTGAAGATATATACATCTTTGAATCAAAATTAATTAATTTTTTTTTCATATAAAAAAATCCTTTTAATCTTTGAATCGAATAAAATAGATATTACCCTGATTTGATAGATATATTATGCTTTCTTTGTCAACTCTATATAAGATATTATGCTTAAACCATTTTAGCAGATTCATTTTTTATTTTTTATTTTTAAAATGAATATTTTAGTTTAACCACAAAACCTATTCAGTAACGTCTTTACAGGGGCTTTAATCACTACAATACTCTTGATAAAAAAAAATATAATCACTACAATACTCAAAAGAAAACCAAAAATTTAATTAAAATAGGGGGAAAAATGAAAATGAAAATGAAAATCGGAATCGAAATCTAAAACAGCCAACAAATTTCTTGCAATTGAAGGTACCTTTTGATAATCCAATCTCTTTGGTTTCTTCTCCGACCAAAAAAATCCAAAAATCCCCATCTTACTTGCTGTTCAGACAGAAACCCTAGTAAACAACAAACTACTGTTCTTTTTTTGCTTTTAATCAATGGGTCGTGAATCTGTGGCTGTTGTGTCTTCTCCTCCAACGGCGACTGCTCCGGGAACTGTTGTGGCGGCGACGGCGTTTGCTCCTGGGTTTAGAATAATCCCATTATTTCACTCTAAATATAGAGTGAAAAAGTGATATTCCTCTATATTTCACTCTATAATAGAGTAACTCTATTATAGAGTAAACCATTGGAGCAAAATTTACACTATAATAGAATTACTCTATTTTAGTGTAAATTATAGAAGAAAAAATAGTGTACCATTGGAGATGGTCTAAGAACTTAATAATCCTTTCTTTCATCTGCAAAATAATTCAAATAACTAACCATATTTCTTACCAAGAAAAACCAAACCATACTCGGACTAAAAAACCACGTGTTTTTTCTTGTGCATCAAACTAGTGTCAATCTACAAGCTTCTACGTGTATTGTGTCGTAGTTATCTTTTAACTATTTTTACGGTCTAATCTTGTTTATCAAGTTTCAAAGAAGACATTATAATAAAATCAGAATACATCTAAAAAAAAGATCAGAATACATCTTCTATAATACAGACGTACGTATTTGGAAATGGTTTTAATCATTAATGCATGACATTTCGTATGTGTTAATCAAATTGGGGTGGATTTTCCGATTTTTGGACTATGTCGATATGTTATACGGAATCTGTCAATGTTTAACTCTTTTCAGAAGTTAGTGTCTCTATCATTTATGAGTTTGTGTGTCCCAGTAAGAATGATCGTACCCTCTTGTTTTAATGTGTAGTGTAGATTTGTTCTTTTGGTTTTTGATCTTTACAGTTCAAAAATAAAATTTTTACTTTTGAGACCACTACGACACGTCAGCGTTTCCATTAATTTTTTTACTACATAATACGACAAAAACCTACTCAGTACGCTAGGGTTTTATTACTGCCAAAGAAAAAAAAAAAGAAATGGGGAAATGAAATTGTAGCCTTCTTGGAAACGCAACAAAAAAAAAGAAAACTAAATTTCTTGCAATTGAAGGTACCTTTTAATCTTGGTTTCTTCTCCCTCAAATCCATAACTTTCTCTTGTTTACTGTAGTTTGGGGGAAAAGAGAGAAACCCTAGAAACAAAGTAAGGTCTTTTTCTTTAAATGGGTCGCGAATCTATGGCTGTTGAGTCCTCGCCGCCGTCAGTGACGCCGCCGGGTACTGCTGTGGCGGCGACTTCGCTTGCTCCTGGGTTTAGATTTCATCCTACTGATGAGGAGCTCGTGAGCTATTACTTGAAGAGGAAGGTTTTGGGGAAAGCTGTACGGTTCGATGCGATTGGGGAAGTTGATATCTACAAGCATGAGCCTTGGGACTTAGCAGGTTTCATTGAGTTTCTTTGTCTCTTTCTTCTTTTTCTTATCTGTTTGAATTGGGTTTCTCTGTGAGTTTCTTGTCTCTGATTTGGGTTCTTGACTTAATTCTGGGTAAAGAGTTTAGCTTTTTGGGTTTTTTGTTCATTTTCTGGTGAAATTTCGTTGAAGATTTACTTTTTGAATGTTAAAGATGTAAAATTATGGAAAAAATTGCATCTTATAGACTTTTTAATGGGTAAAAACTAGTTTTTTTTTTTTTTTTTTTTTTTTGCAGATTCCTAAAGATTTT